AAAAATAAATATAACGAAAAATATGTAAAACTGTATGATTGCCTTTATTTTAGGGACATAACTCCCCGTCCCCTTTTAGCACATGTGTGTTTGTGTGTGTGTGTGTATGTGTGTGTGGAGGGGGGGGGGAGTTGTAAACAGCAATACATTTTTCACGTAACTATTCAAAATCTATATTATGCAAATCGAAACAAAAATAAACCGGGAGTGATCTCCCCTAAACTTTTTCGAATATTCTTTTATAAAACAAGCGTTTGTATCATTTTGCACTATTCTATTTTTAAAAAAAAATATATTCTTATATAACGCTACGGTGACACGGGATAGAGAAATGATTTTTAATCCATTTTTAATTTATCAAGTTTTATAAGTAGCATACAAAAAAGAATTGCGCACCAAGTGAACGCCAAATAAAGATGTTCATAATAGTGCGCAATATTATTAGTACTTTATAAATTTACATGCGTTTTTTGAGAAATCGGAAATAGCGTAAATTATTACTTCCGGTCAACGGAAATTACTTAAAATTTGACAGAAGGTAGAGAATTAGATCTTTTACTTACATGTGAAAATTTTATTTATCTATCTGAAAAAGTTCTCAGGTTAAAGGCTTTTGAAAAATTCAAAGTAGAAAAAGTACCACTTCCGGTTATCGGAAATCGCTCAAAAGTTGATACGGATCTACGATTTTGATAAAATGTTTATATATGAAATTTAATCAACATAGCTGTAAATGTACTCAAGTTATCGTGTTTACACACACACACAGACACACTGACATACGGACAAGATTGCAAAATAATGTTTTTCCGTATTACACGATTACAAGATTTTCTATATACTTCGTATATACGAGAAAGTAAAAAGTGTGTATAGCAGATAGAGCAAGTCGTGGCAATTATTTAAATGTAGACATCGATGTATCTCGTGTTTGAAGAAAATGAGTATATGTCAGATTGTTCGTGTATGTGTGTGTAAAGCTGTAGTTTCGCGTGTGTGTATTTCTGCAAGGTTTCAAAAGACATGTGTGTATGTCAGTAAGTATGTATGTCTGTAGGTTTGTGTGTAAGTGCGTGCAAGAGTAGGCTACAGAAGGTTTGTGGGTGCCGAGGTGTGTGTCACACACCATGGTGTCGGAGATTTCGTCTAAAGGTGTCTTGGTGAGACACCATGTGTTGATGTGAATCCATGGTGTTTTGATGTGTCTTGATTTAACACAATGGTGTCTTGATGTAATACCTTTTCTTGTTATAACACCACATTTTCTTTGGGTGTGACACCGCGGTGTCTTTGGGGTGACACCATTTCTTGATGTTAGACCATGTTGTTTTGGGTGTGACACCATATCTGGACGTGACACCTTATCTTGATGTGACACCATGGTGTCCTTGTGTTACACCACGGTGTTGTGGGTGTGATACCGTATCCTTATGTGACACCATATCTTGATGTGACACCATGGTGTCTTTGTGTTACACCACGGTGTTTCGCATGTGACACCATATCATGATGTGACACAATATCCTAATGTGACACCATGGTGTCTTGATGTGACATATCTTAGTGTGACACCATATCTTGATGTGACACCATGGTGTCTTTGTGTTACACCACGGTGTTTCAGATTTGACACCATATCATGATGTGACACAATATCCTAATGTGACACCATGGTGTCTTGATGTGACATATCTTAGTGTGACACCATATCTTGATGTGACACCATGGTGTCTTTGTGTTACACCACGGTGTTTCGGATGTGACACCATATCTTGACGTGACACCATATCTTGATGTGACACCATGGTGTCTTGATGTGACACCATATCTTGACGTGACACCATATCTTGACGTGACACCATATCTTGATGTGACACCATGGTGTCTTTGTGTTACACCACGGTGTTGTGGGTGTGATACCGTATCCTTACGTGACACCATATCTTGATGTGACACCATGGTGTCTTAATGTGACAATATAATGTCATCACGACGCTTACTGCAGTATTCTCGCCCAGGTGGACGAAATGAGGGAATGGTTCAGAGCGTGGAAGAACCAGAACCCCTACCCGCGAGACTACAGGCCCTACTTCGTGCCACTCCTCTGTTACATGGAGGGGGCGTGGACCAGAAGCAGTGTCAACGTCGATGAGCCGTTTTTCAGCGATAGACACGCCATAGACGCCTCGACCTGGTTTGACCTACAGGTCAGTAGGTTTAAGCTCTCGCATTCAGATCAGTAGATTTAAGCTCTCATATCCAGCTCAGTGGGTTTAAGCTCTCACATTCAGCTCAGTTGGTTTAAGCTCTTTTGAAATTTATTAGTTTCCATATTTAGATCAGTATGTTTAAGCTCTCTTTTTTTATTTATTAGATTCCACTTTCAGATCCGTAAGCTCTCTTTAAAAAAATAATAACGTTCGATCAAAAGATTTAAGCGCTCATTTAAAAATATCATGCCTCTTTTCAATAACCATACTTTGTTTGTCCTTTCACATTTAAAAATATAAAAAAAAAATTGAATTCGCAATAACAAAAAAATGTTTGGTCTAATGATAATAAAAAGTAAATAGAAAATGTACGGAACTATCGGGTCTAAAACAATTGTGACTTAAAATTTAGGCGTTCTATTAATATTTTACGAACTAATACAAGTTTCCAATTTATAATTTTTGTGCGCAGTTTTCCGTTGCGCCTCTTTCCGGTCACCGATAATCACATTCTTAATAAAAGTATAAAATAAATCGGGAGTGATCTCCCCTCAACTTTCTTGTATAAATGTTGACGCTTTATGACGTTCTGTTGATGCACTGCAGGAGAAGATACGGTTTACAGGCTACACCGGGATGTCGAGTCCTGGGGAGAACTACGCCTTCCTGCCCACCGCCATCATGAACATCACCCAGGCTGGAGTGCCGGAGTACGCACAGTGGAACTACAGGGTCCTTTGTCATAGGCTCTCTGTTGATGTGCCCACCTCGTACTTTGTTCTACAGGATGATGTGGCCACCAGATTGTCTAAACGTTACAACATGGAAAGGCTCGCGGTAAGTTATGTAGGGGCCATTGGTCCAGGTAAGTTATGTGAGGGTGACTTTTCGGGTAAGTTATGTGAGGGTCACTATACGGGGTAAGTTATGTGAGGGTCACTTTTCGGGTAAGTTATGTGAGGGTCATTGGTCGAAGTAATTTAGGAGAGGGTCATATATATATATATATATATATATATATATATATATATATATATATATATATATATATATATATATATATATATATATATATATAATATATAAAGGCGTATATAGTTATTTATTTATATATTTATTTATTTTTTTATTTTTTTATTTATGACACTATATGATGTACAACAAAATCAATGTTTGTTTTCCTTTTGTAGACCACACGAGCCGCGAGATACAAAATAGTCAACCCAGATGATGAAAAATTTTCCTACTGGTCTGAATTAGATTCCTACATGGCGGAAGTTCCAGGCAAAGATAACTATGGAGCCCAAATCTACGACACTTTCTTTGACGCGCCCCTCTACTCCGCAAAGCCCGAATCCACGGCCCAGCTGAACGTGGCATACTACCACCACAGCTACAAAATGGACCCCAACGAAAAGCCTCTCATCCGTGGGTTCTCCGACCCTAATATCTACATGGCGGAAAACACGCAAGAAAAGGTGTTCCCCGTCTCGGCAACAATATGCAAGGAGGACCTCTGCAAAACGTATGAGAAACGGATGAGCTACGCGCTGCCCACGGAGATAATTTACCTGACCCCCCTGTCAAACTGGAACCCCTACAACCTGGTCTACCACACTGGGGCCTCCGCCTCCATTGTCACTAGAAACAGACGAGGCGGGGGTGTGACCCAAGCGGAGGCCTACAACGGGACGAACTACAGCACCTACTACCGCACTCCAATTGAGTTTTTCGCCGGCGGGGAGGTCGGAAAAGACCCAGCCGACACCACAGTAGCCTACGTTGGGGTCCTAGACCCCGAGGGTAACGTGCGAAACGTCTCCTCCTCCGGGTTCAGAATTCAACTCCCCCCCATCGAAGGTCTCGGGATCCTGCGAACTCGCTACTCACTCATGCCTGTTCACATGGAAAGCTCGACAGTCTGGAAGGAAACCAACGCCCTTAAGAAAGTCATCATGAACATGTACGGCAAGGAAAAGTTTTTGATCGAGAAGTTATATAAGCCTACAGCATGAAACTTCGACTTTAAAACTATCTGACGCTTATAATCTGCAAAACACCTTGTACTGTACCAAAATATAAAGTATTTATATTAAAGGCCTACATTTATTTACATTTGTTAAACAGAGCTATTGTTGCTGGAAACATTTAAAACATAGCTATCTCTCTCTCTCTCTCTCTCTCTCTCTCTCTCTCTCTCTCTCTCTCTCTCTCTCTCTCTCTCTCTTTCTATGGTCTATTAAATAGAAGTTGTTTAAATTCACCATTGTTAGGTGAGACTTTTCAAATAGTTTGACAATCGCATTTTATCATTAAACTATTTTTACACCAATTTTTATTTTGCTTTTGAATGTATGACCTGTGCATCTGTTGAGTCCTTTCTTTGCTTTATTTCCAATAGGCAACTACTGCCGTTTGCATTCTACTCTGTCTTTCACACTTTTTAAACGTTGGGATGTCTGCTACTCTTATGAAATATGGTGGCGTAATAACTGGTTAATAGTGTTTCTTCCAGCCATCTCTTCGAAACGAAAAGAAATTTATGTAGAAAATACATACTTTTGACAGTGCCCGACCCCCCCCCCCCCCCCGGAGAAATAAGTCTGGAGGAAGCACTGCTGGTAAAGTCAACCAATATAACGCCTATGGTAAAGTCAAGCAATATAACGCCTATGGTAAAGTCAAGCAATATAACGCCTATGGTAAAGTCAACCAATATAACGCCTATGGTAATGTCAAGCAATATAACGCCTATGGTAAAGTCAACCAATATAACGCCTATGGTAAAGTCAAGCAATATAACGCCTATGGTAAAGTCAACCAATATAACGCCTATGGTAAAGTCAACCAAAATAACGCCTATGGTAAAGTCAAGCGATATAACGCCTATGGTAAAGTCAACCAATATAACGCCTATGGTAAAGTCAACCAATATAACGCCTGTGGTAAAGTCAAGCGATATAACGCCTATGGTAAAGTCAACCAATATAACGCCTATGGTAAAGTCAACCAATATAACGCCTATGGTAAAGTCAACCAATATAACGCCTATGGTAAAGTCAAGCAATATAACGCCTATGGTAAAGTCAACCAATATAACGCCTATGGTAAAGTCAAGCAATATAACGCCTATGGTAAAGTCAAGCAATATAACGCATATGGTAAAGTCAACCAATATAACGCATATGGTAAAGTCAACCAATATAACGCCTATGGTAAAGTCAAGCGATATAACGCCTATGGTAAAGTCAACCAATATAACGCCGATGGTAAAGTCAAGCAATATAACGACTATGGTAAAGTCAACCAATATAACGCCTATGGTAAAGTCAAGCAATATAACGCATATGGTAAAGTCAACCAATATAACGCCTATGGTAAAGTCAACCAATATAACGCCTATGGTAAAGTCAACCAATATAACGCCTATGGTAAAGTCAACCAATATAACGCCTATGGTAAAGTCAAGCGATATAACGCCTGTGGTAAAGTCAACCAATATAACGCCAATGTTAAAGTCAAGCGATATAACGCCTATGGTAAAGTCAACCAATATAACGCCTATGGTAAAGTCAACCAATATAACGCCTGTGGTAAAGTCAAGCGATATAACGCCTATGGTAAAGTCAAGCAATATAACGCCTATGGTAAAGTCAACCAATATAACGCCTATGGTAAAGTCAACCAATATAACGCCTATGGTAAAGTCAAGCAATATAACGCCTATGGTAAAGTCAAGCAATATAACGCATATGGTAAAGTCAACCAATATAACGCCTACGGTAAAGTCAAGCAATATAACGCCTATGGTAAAGTCAACCAATATAACGCCTATGGTAAAGTCAAGCGATATAACGCCTATGGTAAAGTCAACCAATATAACGCCGATGGTAAAGTCAAGCAATATAACGACTATGGTAAAGTCAACCAATATAACGCCTATGGTAAAGTCAAGCAATATAACGCATATGGTAAAGTCAACCAATATAACGCCTATGGTAAAGTCAACCAATATAACGCTTATGGTAAAGTCAACCAATATAACGCCTATGGTAAAGTCAACCAATATAACGCCTATGGTAAAGTCAAGCGATATAACGCCTGTGGTAAAGTCAACCAATATAACGCCAATGTTAAAGTCAAGCGATACAACGCCTATGGTAAAGTCAACCAATATAACGTCTATGGTAAAGTCAAGCGATATAACGCCTATGGTAAAGTCAACAAATATAACGCCTATGGTAAAGTCAACCAATATAACGCCTATGGTAAAGTCAAGCGATATAACGCCTATGGTAAAGTCTATCCCGCCTATGTTATTAAATTCCGCAACGTGACGCCACTGTCAACTATCCTTCTGGTGTGACCTCTCTATGCAAACATCGCGAAAAGATTTTATTTGCTGAAGAAACGCTAAAATTTTCTGTTGCTTGTCATTAAGGATAGAGCTTATTTCGGCAAACGATCGAGGAAATAGGCTTACTGCTTTCACGAATTGTCGGGCATAAAAAAACTTTTCTTACAATTACCTCTTACAGTTTACACAAGAGGAAATAAGAGCGTTGTTTATTTCCTCTACCCTAACAAAAATACCCGAGGTGAAAACGCCTACATACTATATAACTACATGCTACAAAGTAGCTTAATTCATTGATTTTGTTTGTCATTACTGACAAAAACCATGAATATAACTTTCTCAGACTAAACCTAGCACTAATCCTAACACCTAGCACTAACTCTTAACCCCAGCTCAAGCCCATAACCCTAGCTAACATATAATGCGTTATAATTATATTAAAGCTATTTCCACAATAAATAAAAAGAGCCCACGGTAGTTCTGTTTGGTTTTGAACCCAAAACTTCTCGATAGCCTCCGACTGTTGATTATGTCACGAAACACTTAAAATTAGCATAATGTAAAATCAGTCAAAGTACCGTTCGAAAATTCTATTTTTTTTATATTTTCTTCATAGTAATTTAGATAGTAGTGTATTATCAATTATTTAAAGAAAATCATTTATTTATCCTTTTAATACATTATTACATAAAAGCTTGTTATTAAACCGTTTTTTATCATTTTTTCAGCACTTAAATTAAAAAAAAATAATTATACAATAGTGTTGCATGACTTAAAACTATTGCACACCAAATGAACATGATAATGCACGTATAATAGTGCTGGATAGTAGTAGGACACCCTACTAATTTAAAAAAGATTTAATTGATTCATAAGAAACTAATTAGGCATCCAATTATGTAAACATTTGATGTCAGATTGCATTGCAAGTCTTGACCCCATGCAAACTTTGCAACGAATCGGTCAGTTAGAAGTGCTCGAAATTTTGCTCGCCCATTTCGATCTATGTCTACGTGATGGCAGAAAAAGCAAGATAAATAAAATCTAGTAAAAAGACACTCCCTCGGTGGAAAAAAATAAATTGTCAGATAACTATTAGAGGCAAAATGTGTGTGAGTTTGCGTGTGAATGTGTGTGTGTGTGTGTGTGTGCGAGTGTGAGTGAGTGTTGTGTATGAGTGTGTGTATGAGTGTAAGAATGTAGCAGCATGTTGGTAAGTGTGTGATAGTGTGTATGATTATAAATGTATGGTTATCAGTGGGTGTGTTAGTATGAATGTGTGTAAGTGTATGAGTCTGGACGTAAGAATGTGTTTGTATAATGTGTGGATACGTTTATGTGTATGAGTGTGTGTGTATGAATGTATGAGAATGTGTGCGTGAGAGCGAATGAATGAGTGAGTATGTGTATTAGCGTATAGACATGATTTCATGATGATTACGGTATTCAAACACCCAAAATCAGCTCATGATCTTCTAATTCGGACTATGGCCGGCATCCGCAGACTGGCCTGCCAATGGCCGAAGTCAAGAACTATTTCAAACTATGGACGGTCAACCATGGCCAGTCCGCGGACTGGCCGGTCAATATCCGAAATGAAGAAAAATTTCGCACTTTGTCCGGGCAAGGTGATGTAAGAATGGCTATTGCTAGAACACGCAATTGAGAGATTCACTATTTATAGCAGTAAACTTTGTCATTCTTCCAGACTTTTTTCTCCGGGATAGGGGGCACTTGATATTTTTTTTTGGGGGGGGGAGGCTGTCAACATTTTTTTGGCAGGGGGGGGGGGGTGGACACTGGTAAAAGTATGTTTTCTATAGAAATTCCATTTCGTTCGGGGGGGGGGGGTAGACTTTTTTTGGGGGGGGGGGGGGGGGGGAAAGGGGGGGGGGAGACCCCGAAGTGATGCCTGGAAGAAACTGCATTCATGCCCAACAGATAACTTACAGGTAAGCCAAAAAAAAAAAAAAAACAAATTGTTAAATGAACGTTTATTGTTGGAAAATTAATTTATAATCCACACTTTTCCTTTAGAAGAAAACATTTAGGGTGCGTAAAAAAAAATATTTATTTGTAGAAACTGGGAATAAAAAAAGTAGTAAGCCTAAATTATAAATTGGAGAAATTGAACCATTTTTTAAAAAAGAAAACATTGTTCGTTAGGTTGAGGAGAAATGTTCATTCGATTCTTTCTTGTAGATTGAATATTTCTGGTGAAGTACTTTATGAGCTACAGTGCTACTTCTGGTGGGGTACTGTGTGAAAGTGCTACACCTAGTGAGGTATTGTGGGAAAGTGCTACATCTAGTGGGGTACTGTGTGAAAGTGCTACATCTGGTGGGGTACTGTGTGAAAGTGCTACACCTAGTGAGGTATTGTGTGAAAGTGCTACATCTAGTGGGGTACTGTGTGAAAGTGCTACACCTAGTGAGGTACTGTGTGAAAGTGCTACATCTGGTGGGGTACTGTGTGAAAGTGCTACATCTAGTGGGGTACTGTGTGAAAGTGCTACACCTAGTGAGGTACTGTGTGAAAGTGCTACATCTGGTGGGGTACTGTGTGAAAGTGCTACATCTGGTGGGGTACTGTGTGAAAGTGCTACACCTAGTGAGGTACTGTGTGAAAGTGCTACACCTAGTGAGGTACTGTGTGAAAGTGCTACATCTGGTGGGGTACTGTGTGAAAGTGCTACACCTAGTGAGGTACTGTGTGAACTAAAGTGCTACATCTGATCAGGTACTGTGTGAAAGTGCTACATCTGATAAGGTACTGTGTGAGCTAAATTGCTACATGATGATGAGGTACTGTGTGAAAGTGCTACACCTCGTGAGGTACTATGTGAACTAAAGTGCTACATTTGGTGAGTTTCTGTGTGAAAGTCACCAGGTGATGTATTATGTAGCTAAGGATGTTGAAGTAGTAAGTTGCTGTATGAGTACATCTGCATGACGACTGTCTTGAGGGCGCTCATCTCCTTGCCCACGCTGCTACTTTCATAATGCACTGGGACGATAGGGTACACGGTTCGCAGTTTACCCACACCTGAGATGTTGGGTAGAATCATCCTGATCCCCGACGCCGTGACGTTTCGCACATGCTCAGAACTGTCCAATGCGACGATCACGGGATCCGGGTAGTCAGCTGGGTTGCCTCCTGAGAAGAATTCAACAGGGGTGCGAGCGTAGTTATCGTCCGTAGAGTCGGTGCTGCTGACTTTGTATCTGTTGTTCCTGGAGTCATGTTCGTCGCCGGCGCCGATGTTGTACGGGTTCCACAGTGACAGCGGTGTCAGGTAAACGATGGACAACGGCACGGCATAGCTCACGCGTTTCACAATCTCCGTGCAGTTCTCTTCCTTGCAGATGCTGAACGTAATCGGGGCAACTTCTTCGCTTGTCGTCTCCGCCACGAACACCGTGGGGTCGCTGAAGCAGCGATGGGTGGCCGTGTCGGTGACCGAGGGTCTGTACCGGCGGTGGTAGTAGCCCACGTTCAGCAGGTTCGCCTCACGGTGGCTGGCGGAGTAGAGCGTTTCGTCGAAGCTGGTGTCGGTGATGTTGACGCCGTAGTTGTCCAGTCCTGGGATCTCCTCCATCAGCGTCTCCAGCGTACTCCACAAGTTGAAATCATAGTCTTCTGGATCGGTTACCGTAAACCTTGCATTATATTGTGCCTGGTTCGAATGAGTTGTAAAAATAAAAATTAGCGATCTCATAAATAGCTTTATCAGGTTTGCTGCTCCAAGCTAGTTTTATTTTATTTTGATTTATATATATATATATATATATATATATATATATATATATATATATATATATATATATATATATATATATATATATATATATATATATATATATATATACGTATATATATATATCGTCCCCAACAACTTTTCGCCGATTTTCTAGCCCTACAGGGTCTCGCATTATCACATACAGTGAAACAAAACTCAGACTGTTTATATATATATATATATATATATATATATATATATATATATATATATATATATATATATATATATATATATATATAAGGCGAATTCAGTCTGTTTATAATTTGAGTTAGTAAAGCTGAAAACCTTAAAAATAAACAACACCAATCACACTAAAAGAATTACATATCTACGACTCCTTTAAGCTTGATCACCCCCCCCCCCTCCCTCCTTAGTCAATGACGGCCTTGCCCTTGCATACACCATACAACCCTTTGACCCCTACGCTTCAGCCTCTTACCTCGGCCTCTTCGATCGTGTAAGACCTGGGAATCCTGACTTGCAGCTCGTTGACGTACTTGAGGTACGAGGTCGGCACGTCCACGGTCAGCGGATGACAGACGACCCTGTAGTTGAAGCGTGCAAACACGGGCATCCCGGTCTCCTTGTTGATGCTAGTGATGGTCGTGGGCAAGTACATTAGGTCGTAGTATAAGCCAGTGTAGGTGTAAAATCGAATCTTCTCCTACACAGAAATAGAAAGGAAAATGAATTTTTTAAATCAGTGATAACAAATAAAGACCCCTGGTCTATCATCAGGGAGGTAAGTTAAGTGGTAGAACACACATGTTGGCTTGAAGGTCTGGAGTTCGAACACTGTTTTGGCTGTTTATACATTATCAGGATGTTACTTATGTTTTTATACTAAATTTTAAAGAAAAAGGCTAATTATGAACTTTTAGAATTACGGCTAACTGGGCGTGTTTTGTTTTTGTCTGGGACTTTTTGAAGGGTTCCTTTCAGACAGCTTCTACATGGGACCTGAAGTAGTTTTGAGTAAATAAAATATCGGCCGTTACAAGCAAATAAGTGGGTACCAACCAGATCCTGGAACCAGGTCTCGAATTCATCCTTCGATTTACTGGCCTCCCACATCCCCTCCAGGTAGCAGAGGACGGGCTTGAAGTAGCGCCGGTAGTCCCTGGTGGAGAAGTCCTGGGTCTTCCACGCCTTGAACCACTCACGCATCTCGTGGATCTGCGAGACAGCACGTGCAGTTTACTCACGCGCATTCAGACGCTGCTCACACTAGACTCACCAAAACACAGAGTCAACTCACGTGCATTTAGACGCTTCTCACGGTAGACTCACCAAAAACACAGAGTCAACTCACGTGCATTTAGACGCTGCTCACACTAGACTCACCAAAACACAGAGTCAACTCACGTGCATTTAGACGCTGCTCACACTAGACTCACCAAAACACAGAGTCAACTCACGTGCATTTAGACGCTGCTCACACTAGACTCACCAAAACACAGAGTCAACTCACGTGCATTTAGACGCTGCTCACACTAGACTCACCAAAACACAGAGTCAACTCACGTGCATTTAGACGCTTCTCACACTAGACTCACCAAAACACAGAGTCACCTCACGTGCATTTAGACGCTTCTCACAATAGACTCACAAAAACACAGAGTCAACTCACGTGCATTTGGACGCTACTCACGGTAGACTTACTAATCCAAACACACAATCAAATCAACGGCATTCAGACGTTGCTAAGAGTACACCAACTCACCCAAGCACTCAGTCAACTCACGTGCATTTAGACGCCGCTCACACTAACTCAACCAAACACAGTCAAATCATGTACAATCAGACGTTGCTCGGAGTACACTAACTCACCCAAGAACAGTTAATTAACTCACCCGCATTTGGACGTTACTCACATTACACTACCTACACTCAACTCCCGTGCATGTCTCTTCTCTAAGCTCAGATCTTCTAGAAATAAGGCACTTGCCTGTTCATGAACCGTTTCCTTATTGAGCACCTCGGGCGGGACTGGAGGGAACAAAATCTCACGCAGACCCTTGTAGGGCAGCTTGGTGCTGATGGGCATCATCAGACTGAAGTACGTGGTGTTGGTCCGGAATTCAACTCCATTCAAAACATACTTCAAGAGGAAGTAGAACATTCAAATATTAGCCGTCTCACAACACAGAAACCTCTTAATTATACGTTTAAATCACGTGCTGACAACTGCCACACGTACTGACCACTGTCACACGTACTGACCACTGTCACACGTACTGACCACTGTCACACGTACTGACCAGTGTCACATGTACTGACCACTGTTACACGTACTGACCACTGTCACACGTACTGACCACTGTCATACGTACTGACCACTGTCACACGTACTGACCATTGTCACACTTGCTGACCACTGTCACACGTACTGACCACTGTCACACGTACTGACCACTGTCAAACGTACTGACCACTGTAACACGTACTGACCACTGTCACACTAACTGACCACTGTCACACTAACTGACCACTGTCACACGTACTGACCACTGTCACACGTACTGACCACTGTCACATTTGCTCACCACTGTCACACGTACTGACCACTGCCACACGTACTGACCACTGTCACACGTACTGACCACTGTCACACGTACTGACCACTGCCACACGTACTGACCACTGTCACACGTACTGACCACTGTCACACTTGCTGACCACTGTCACACGTACTGACCACTGTCACACGTACTGACAACTGTCACACGTACTGACCACTGTCACACGTACTGACCACTGTCACACGTACTGACCACTGTTACACGTACTGACCATTGTCACACGTACTGACCACTGTCACACGTACTGACCACTGTCACACGTACTGACCACTGTCACACGTACTGACCATTGTCAAACATGCTGACCACTGTCACACGTAATGACCACTGTCACACTTGCTGACAACTGTTACACGTACTGACCATTGTCACACGTACTGACCACTGTCACACGTACTGACCACTGTCAAACATGCTGACAACTGTTATTCGTTATAACCACTGTCACACGTACTGACCACTGTCACACGTACTGACCACTGTCACACGTACTGACCACTGTCAAACATGCTGACAACTGTCATTCGTACTGACCACTGTCACACTTGCTGACAACTGTCACACGTACTGACCACTGTTACACGTACTGACCACTGTCACACTTGCTGACAACTGTCACACGTACTGACCACTGTTACACGTACTGACCACTGTCACACGTACTGACCACTGTCAAACATGCTGACCACTGTCACACGTACTGACCACTGTCACACGTACTGACCACTGTCAAACATGCTGACCACTGTCACACGTACTGACCACTGTCACACGTACTGACCACTGTCACACGTACTGACCACTGTTACACGTACTGACCACTGTCACACGTACTGACCACTGTCACATTTGCTGACAACTGTCACACGTACTGACCACTGTCACACGTACTGACCACTGTCACATGAACTGACCACTGTCACACGTACTGACCACTGTCACACGTACTGACCACTGTCACACGTACTGACCACTGTCACACGTACTGACCACTGTCACATTTGCTGACAACTGTCACACGTACTGACCACTGTCACACGTACTGACCACTGTCACACGTACTGACCACTGTCAAACGTACTGACCACTGTCACACGTACTGACCACTGTCATTCGTTATTACTATTGTCACACGTACTGACCTCCAAGAAAAACAAACAATGACATTTGAGACCACGAACCTGAGCAGGACGAAACGCCATGACATTCCTCTTGAGGTATTGGTCGTGCATGCCGGCGATGTTGGTGCCGGTGTGGCTGTTGGCGTAGAAGGTCTCCGAACCCTGGACGTCCACCCGGATCTGCTTGATGCCAGACCCGCCGTCCGTACGAGTTTTTTCTTCCGCGTACAGCTGCTGCGCCATAAGCTGCATGGAAAGATCGAGACATTTTTATTGTGCTGTCATTTCTTGGCCTGAGATCTATGTAGGTCTGGTGCATCATAAACTGCATGGAAACATAATAAGGTCATTTCAGTAAAATTGTCTTAGGCCCTTGTGGGTCCTTAGTGTTAGGTCTTTGATCAAAGACCTATTCAGGTCCCTCTTTTATAGACCTCTTATAGATCTTTCACGTTGCTGAATCCAGAACTCTTACATGTGTAGCGATCATCAGTAAATATAAGCTATTGATCATCAGTATATATATATATATATATATATATATATATATATATATATATATATATATATATATATATATATATATATATATATATATATATATATATATATATATATATATATATATATATATATATGTTTTCTTTGCGAGATTTGGATTTTAAAGAAAAAAATTGATAAATGAAGAAAACAAAGCCTAACATTTAATTAACTAAAAAACAAAACAAATAAACGAGGGTTTGGCGGTTTTGGTGAGACCTACATAGTAGCTTTCGGTAAAGGTCATTTCCGAGGCATCAACCGCGAAAGGCAGAAACACTGGACTACAGTGGCGTAGGCAGGGGGGGGGGGTTAGGGGGGGTCATAACCCCCCCCCCCATAGACCCCTCGGTATATAGAAAAAGTATGAGGGGGGATGCAAATCGAAAGTTTGAGGGGGGGGGTGCAAATCGAAAGTTTGAGGGGGGGGGGGGGGTGCAAATCGAAAGTTTGTCCCCGGGTAAAAATTGGACCCCCCCCCCCTTGAGACGATACTGGCTACGCCACTGCTGGACTATTCTAATTTTCAAGTTACCCAAACGTAAAGCGATAAAATAAATAGAAACAAAAAAAAAAGAAAACACAAACACGAAAGAAAGAAAAACAACGATATAAACACGAAAATAAAAGCAATAAAACGAACATAAAACTTCTTGAAAATGGGATGGACAATTTCTTTTCAAAACGATGATCATTGAAAATATTCAGGTTTAAATAACGCCATTTGCATCATACGTTTACTTCTAATGTTTCAATCTGAAAGAAAATCATGTCGCCATCGATGATTTCTCCGGGAAAAGATAATTAAAAAGAACATCACCAAAAAATTATCCTCACTTCCATCAATATTCTAAAACAAACCACGTCTTAATGAACCCATCTTTCTAGGTATGCCCTCAATAGTTTGACTGGTTTTCTTAATGAACCCATCTTTCTAGATATACCCTCAATAAATTGACTGGTTTTCTTAATGAACCCATCTTTCTATGTATGTCCTAAATTATTTGACTGGTTTTCTTAATGAACCCATCTTTCTATGTATGCCCTCAATTATTTGACTGGTTTTGTTAATGAACCCATCTTTCTATGTATGCCCTCAATTATTTGACTGGTTTTCTTAATGAACCCATCTTTCTATGTATGCCCTCAATTATTTGACTGGTTTTCTTAATGAACCCATCTTTCTATGTATGCCCTCAATTATTTGACTGGTTTTGTTAATGAACCCATCATTCTAGCTATACCAAAAATTAATTAACTGGTAATCTTAATTTACCTACCTTTTTAGTTATACCCAGTATGTCAGCTCTTAACATATCAATCTGGTAAATACAAATGGTATCTGCAGTGAGGTTAATGCAATTAATAATGAAACAGATTAGAATTGCATGGTTGGTATCTTTGAGGAACGATGTCAGTGCTTCAACTGTCAGCATTTTTAAACCAACAGTTGAAGCACTACCATCGTATCTCAAAGATACAAACCATGCAATTTTTATTTTTGAATCTCTCAAATTTACCAGTAAGATATCGAGATTAATGATCTAATTACACGTGGTGTCGTTGTACTCCTCAATACCCAACAAGGACGGTCTACTAGCGATTTAACACTTCTTCATTATACACCCCCAACCCTCTATCGACAGTAACACTAAAGTTAACCGAGTTAGTTCCCTTCTTTTGACAGTAATATTATACTTAAGTTAACCGAGTTAGTTCCCCTCTTTTGACAGTAACATTATGCTTAGGTTAACCGAGTTAGTTCCCTTTTTTTTGACAGTAACATTATACTTAGGTTAACCGAGTTAGTTCCCCTCTTTTGACAGTAACATTATACTTAGGTTAACCGAGTTAGTTCTCAACCTCAACTCGTTCGAGTTTGATGGGCAGTTTTTGACCAAATAAGTGGAGTAGCTATAGGAACTAAAATAGGGTCCCAGTTATGCGTGTCTTTTCGTGGGTTACCTGGAGGGTCAAATCCAGGAAAAATACACTGGCAAAATTCCAGGTTTTTATCGGCGGTACAGTGATGATGGGTTAGGCATCACAGAGATGGCAGAAGAAGAACTAAAAGAGTTTATATTTCATTCTTCAACAACTACCACCCAAACATTAAATTTACGTCCGAAATTACAGGCAGTTCTGTTAACTTCTTGGACATGACAATATCACTTAACGCTACCAACGTTGGAACCTTATTCTACAAACCAACCAACTCAAACATATCTGTTGCTCTATTCTTGAGTCCAGGCCTGCAAACATTTGATCCCTTTCTCACAATTATTAAGACTACGACGTATTTGTCAAGATGATGACAACTTTTGGAACAAGGCTCATGAGCTATGATAGTTCTTCCGACTCCGCTCATACCCGAAGCATATACTCCAGTCATCACTACACCGCATAAGGCCATACCCGAAGCGTATACTCCAGTCATCACTAAACCGCATAATACCATACCCGAATCATATACTCCAGTCATCACTACACCGCATAAGGCCATACCCGAAGCGTATACTCCTGTCATCACTAAACCGCATAATGCCATACCCAAAGCATATACTCCAGTCATCACTAAACCGCATAATGCCATACCCGAAGCATATACTCCAGTCATCACTAAACCGCATAATGCCATACCCGAAGCATATACTCCAGTCATCACTACACCGCATAAGGCCATACCCGAAGCATATACTCCAGTCATCACTAAACCGCATAATGCCATACCCGAAGCATATACTCCAGTCATCACTACACCGCATAAGGCCATACCCGAAGCATATACTCCAGTCATCACTAAACCGCATAATGCCATACCCGAAGCATATACTCCAGTCATCACTAAACCGCATAATGCCATACCCGAAGCATATACTCCAGTCATCACTACACCGCATAAGGCCATACCCGAAGCATATACTCCAGTCATCACTAAACCGCATAATGCCATACCCGAAGCATATACTCCAGTCATCACTACACCGCATAAGGCCATACCCGAAGCATATACTCCAGTCATCACTAAACCGCATAATGCCATACCCGAAGCATATACTCCAGTCATCACTACACCGCATAAGGCCATACCCGAAGCATATACTCCAGTCATCACTACACCGCAAAAGAACTGTTGACCAATTCCCTTTACTCCCTTCAACAATTTCCAAAACTAAAGTCATATAGTACTAAACTCATGTTACCCTACTATCCTTATCCTCATTCGGTTTTGGCAAAAAAACATCATTATAAAATATTATTCTATCCTTAAGTCAGACCCCCACTTAGGCTATTTATTTCAACAGAATACTTTGGTGGTGTTTAGGCGGAAACGCAACCTTAGAGACCTTTTAGTCCGGAGCCGCCTGCCACCCAATATAACCACAATGTTTGACACTAATGCCTGTTCCCGCAATTGTTGCCGTGTCATTTCACACTTCAGGTTGAATCACTCCACTTGCCTTAGGGAACCTCAGAATTAAAAATCAATTTAACTGTGAGACCCGTAACGTAGTTTATGTTACCCTGTGTAGGCGATGCAAGATCTTTTCTATTGGACAAAAGGGGAAACGACTGTCTGCCAGGATCAACCAATACCCACGATCAATAAAAAATGAAGTCTTCCTGTGGCTAACCACTTTAAATAAGAGTGACCATACCATAAATACTGACTTTGTGTAACCGCTATTCGGTTTTTCTATAATTTAAATAAACCGCGAGTGATCTCCCCTAAACTTTCTCGAATATTCGTATATAACTTGGAATATAGACATGATTTTTAATTACTTAAAACTTTTAAAAATAGAATAGAATCTCATAGAAAAAAGAATTGCGCACCAAGCGAACACCAAAACAAAATGTGCATAATAGTGCGCAATATTATTAGTACTTTATAAATTTACATGCGTTTTTTGAGAAATCGGAAATAGCGTAAATTAGTATTTCCGGTCAACGGAAATTACTCAAAATTTGAAAGAAGACAGAAAATTAGATCTTTTACTTAAATATGAAATTTCATTTATCTATCTGAAATAGTACTCAAGTTATAGGCTTTTGAAAAATTCAAAGTAGAAAAAGTACCACTTCCGGTTATCGGAAATCGCTCAAAAGTTGATCAGGATCTACGATTTTGATAAAATACTTATATATGAAATTTCATCAACGTAGCTGTAACGGTACTCAAGTTATCGTGTTTACACACAGACAGACAGACAGACAGACACACACACACACACACAGACGCACAGACATACGGACAAGATTGCAAAATTATGTTTTTCCGTATCAGTGAGGTGTAAAACGTCAAGATTTGAAAAAAGCTCGATTTTTTTTTGCACGATTACAATACTTTCTCTATACTTCGTATATACGAGAAAGTAAAAACCGCCTGAACTCGGAAACGCGACTCATACTTAAATTCGGCACTCGGGCACCGGATGGTTTAAACGAACAGGTATCTTTCACCTAACCGTCTAACCCCATCCCCCTCCCCCATACACCAAGCCTCCAACCCCTCCTCTATACTGTGTTCAAGCCTCCTTTTCACGCGTCTTTTCTTTTGGATATCGTGGCATTTAGACAAGACGTGTTTTTACTGTCGAGCCAAGTCCAAAATTGTGTTACTGTTCGTCATTTCTGTCTAATATGTAACCACACTGTTGTGTGCTGACGAAGACCTTGGGTCGAAACGTTCATAGTATTTGTAACTGTCTTTAACTTGTGAGGTAAAATAACACTATCTGTTTTATTACCATCGCTTGAATCTCTCTGTCCATCGCATTCCCGTTGACTCCGTAATGTGTAAGGGTCAGCAATGCCAAAAACGCCTGAAATTGTGCTTCGTTTTAATTGAGTCAATTCTAGAAACTAGCACTCTAAGTTTAACACATACTATTTGAACAAAGCCTTTAAATCAATAAGTGAATTTAAAAAAGTTGTATACGCAGGGTATTTTTCCGGGGATTGTTTATATATATATATATATATATATATATATATATATATATATATATATATAAATAACTATATCTACCTGTCTATCCGTCTTTTAATGTCTATGTGTCTATGTGTCTATGTGTCTATGTGTCTGTGTCTGTGTGTCTATGTGTCTATGTGTCTATGTGTCTATGTGTCTATGTGTCTATGTGTCTATGTGTCTATGTGTCTATGTGTCTATGTGTCTATGTGTCTATGTGTCTATGTGTCTATGTGTCTATGTGTCTATGTGTCTATGTCTATGTCTATGCCTATGCCTAGGTCTAGGTCTAGGTCTATGTCTATGTTTACGAAACTAAGACATAATGAATATATTGAATAAACTTGGGCAACTTACAAACGTCAGGAACCGCATGAGAGACATGTCCGAAAAATTGTAGTCTTCTTTTTTCCGTCAAGCGATTTTATAGTCTACGCTTAAGTCAGCCTTTTATAAAGTTTAGCTCCACCCATTATTTGTTGTCAAATAAATATAGCCCTATTGACGTTTAATTAGTAATTAGTCGAAGTAATTTCTGGAGATGTTCCCAACCCCCTCCCCCTCTCTCCCAACTTAGTTTCACATTAAAGGTGTACTATGCTGTGTGTTATGATGTGTGCTATGATGTGTGCTATGCTGTGTGTTATGATGTGTGCTATGGTGTGTGCTAACCCGTTTACTATCGTGTGTTATGCTGTGTGCTATGATGTGTGTTATGATGTGTGCTATGATGTGTGTTATGATGTGTGTTATGATGTGTGCTATGGTGTGTGCTATGATGTGTGTTATGATGTGTGCTATGGTGTATGTTATGATGTGTGTTATGATGTGTGCTATGGTTTGTGCTAACCCGTTTACTATCGTGTGTTATGCTGTGTGCTATGATGTGTGTTATGATGTGTGCTATGATGTGTGTTATGATGTGTGTTATGATGTGTGCTATGGTGTGTGCTATGATGTGTGTTATGATGTGTGTTATGATGTGTGCTATGGTGTATGTTATGATGTGTGTTATGATGTGTGCTATGGTGTGTGCTATGATGTGTGTTATGATGTGTCCTAAGATGTGTGCTATAATGTGTGTTATGATGTGTGCTATGGTGTGTGCTATGATGTGTGTTATGATGTGTGCTATGGTGTATGTTATGATGTGTGTTATGATGTGTGCTATGGTGTGTGCTATGATGTGTGTTATGATGTGTCCTAAGATGTGTGCTATAATGTGTGTTATGATGTGTGCTATGGTGTGTGCTAACCCGTTTACTATCGTGTGTGTTATGATGTGTGGTTTTCTTGAGTGATTAAAAAAACACGTAATCGCCTCACCCTAGCATACCAGCACCCATCACATCCACTATCCCATAATAGCACCTTTCACACACCCACACACACCAGCACCCGTCATACACCACACACAGACACCAGCAGCCTTTACACACCACCCACACACGCCAGCACCCATCCCATTCACAAAACAGCACCCATTACATTCACCTCCCCCCCCCCCCCCAAAAAAAAAGGGGCAAAATAAAGGATTTTTTTAACAATTGTAGTTGTCCACGTCTAATTAATTAAGACAATCAGTATTTGTATTTCTATGAAATCATAAACTTAGTCAAATATAGGAGTAAGGAAAATATGTTTCAAACTGGGTTAATTAATTGGTTTAATTAATTTTACATAGTGCCACACCTAAGATAATTACTTTCACTAAACCATCATGTATTTCATGATAGTTTGCTAATTGCTTTTTAGTCAAAACCGTTCTGATCTTGTGCACGGGTCAGAAGGTGAAATCAGTGTTTCTTCCAGACTTTTTTCTCCGGGGGGTGGGGCACTTGAAATTTTCGGGGGGGGGGGGGGGGCGGTAGACTTTCTTCGGGGGGGGCGGACACTGTTAAAAGTATATATTTTCTATATAAATTATATAAATTTCATTTCGTTCGGGGGGGGGGGGGCGGTAAAAAATTTTCGGGGGGGGGGGCTTGCCCCCCCCCCCCCGAAGAGATGCCTGGAAGAAACTCTGGGTGAAATATTACATAGACAACTGCATCAAATATACAAACAATACACGATGCAATTTCCCCGAAGAAAACCAAACTTTTCGACACACAATCCACAAGGAAGTCTAAATCTGCATGGTATGATATTCACCTGGATGACTTTGGTCAGTTGCCAGCAAAATTTTAAGCTGGGAATCAGCACTGTATTTCAAAATCCGTGCATTGGCATTTAAGCCAATTTAAATATATACAATAAATATGTTAAAAACATACGAATTTTTCTGTAGAATTTTTATTTTCCACTGAATTGGAATAGGATTTTAAATGTATATATTTTCGTGAATATAAAAATGATTTAATTATTTTTTGTTCGGGAAGGTCGTCCAAAAATGGCGACACACTCAAACATTTGTGGGGTTAACTCACACCTCTGTTAAGGTGTCTAACGAATTAGGGGGGGGGGGTGTTCCCCATGCAAAAATGTGACGTCACACTCTAACATGGGTCGGCGTGGTCGAGTCGGTAACCGTAAAGTCTCGAGTTCGAACCCTCGGGCAGATGAGGCTCGTTAGCTGGGGACAGCCACTATTCTAGGAGAGACAACTCCAAAATCAAACAACTGCTGCCTTGTATGGAAGCAAATCCAAAAAGAAAAGCAGGTTGAAATCGGAGTCAATGGCGCATAATCAGTTGACCCGTATCCTTAATTGTGTTGGAGGGGATCCCTTCCAACATTAATATTAAGAACGAAGAAGAAGAAGAAGACTGTAGCATGTATACCGTTATTAAAAAAAAAATCAATGTTAGAAGCTATATCACATTTTAAAAGCACTAGTAAATTGTCAACAAAAATCATCAATACACATGTTGTTGACTTCTTTGAAATCACGGAAAACAAATCCATTCTAATATAAATATAAGGGGGAAGGAAGCAGGCGTTGTAACTGAAATAGCAATGTAAACAGAAAGTGATATTTCAACGCCAAGGGTAGACCAAGGTACAGAATATAGTCCAAGTAAAGATAGAACAGTCAGAGCTGATTGGCAGAAGTGGGTACACGTCTGACTTGGTGCATGGAAGGCGAGGCGATTTGGTGCCGTGTGGAATGGTAGGTTCTGATCCCGTTGGGTTCTGACTGTTCTGTCTTTACTTGGACTATATTCTGTACCTTTGTCTACCATTGACGTTGAAATATCACTTTCTGTTTACATTGTTATCGTGTATTAACAACTCGAGAGAGGATCCATGTTTAATGGTCATTTCCACACATAAACTGATGTCGGCCTCCATAGTCAGATGGCATACCTGTACACAGACCCAATACAGACACAAGTACTAGTTAAATGTTACACTAAAAGATAACTTCAGAAGAGGACTAAAACAAGAACGTTAATATTTTAGTTTTATTTTATCGTCATACAATAATGTTAGCAATTTGTGTTAACATACAAGTTAACCAAACAATTTATTTTAAATTAAATATATATTGTATTTTAACAATACATTGCACACACAATAGAAAAAACAACTTCAAGCTCTGGAGTTATTCCAGCTTTTTTTTAGAATACATCATCAATTTTGGGCCTATACATATTGCAAAAATTATCATTAGGCTTATAGATAATGCAAAAATTATCATTGGGCCTATAGATAGTGCAAAAATTATCATTAGGCCTATAGATAATGCAAAAATTATCATTGGGCCTATAGATAATGCAAAAATTATCATTGGGCCTATAGATAATGCAAAAATTATCATTAGGCCTATAGATAATGCAAAAATTATCATTAGGCCTATAGATAATGCAAAAATTATCATTAGGCCTATAGATAATGCAAAAATTATCATTAGGCCTATAGATAATGCAAAAATTATCATTAGGCCTATAGATAATGCAAAAATTATCATTAGGCCTATAGATAATGCAAAAATTATCATTAGGCCTATAGATAATGCAAAAATTATCATTAGGCCTATAGATAATGCAAAAATTATCATTAGGCCTATAGATAATGCAAAAATTATCATTAGGCCTATAGATAATGCAAAAATTATCATTAGGCCTATAGATAATGCAAAAATTATCATTAGGCCTATAGATAATGCAAAAATTATCATTAGGCCTATAGATAATGCAAAAATTATCATTAGGCCTATAGATAATGCAAAAATTATCATTAGGCCTATAGATAATGCAAAAATTATCAATATGACTATAGATAATGCAAAAATTATCATTAGGCCTATAGATAATGCAAAAATTATCATTGGACCTATAGATAATACAAAAATTATCATTAGGCCTATAGATAATACAAAAATTATCATTAGACCTATAGATAATACAAAAATTATCATTGGACCTATAGATAATACAAAAATTATCATTAGGCCTATAGATAATACAAAAATTATCATTGGACCTATAGATAATACAAAAATTATCATTGGGCCTATAGATAATACAAAAATTATCATTGGGCCTATAGATAATGCAAAAATTATCATTAGGCCTATAGATAATGCAAAAACACAGAAATCATCTAAAATCATCTTTAGGCCTAGACTACACACAGACAACTGCTGATGTCACACATAAACACACACATACATGATGCCACACATACACAACATCACGCCAATGAGCTTAGCTAAAAATTAAACAAACTACTTTTCGCCCTGTTTCACTGTAAAGCTCCAGATATCAAAGCTAGCCAAAAACATGTCTGATGTGTTTTTGTTTGGAATTAAAAGTTTAAAATGGCAACAGCAGAGGTTTTCTATCTCTTAAAACAGAGAATGGAATACAGTGTACACAAAGTTTACATTTTGGAGTTCAATTCACATTAAAAATTAGAAAGGAACTAACAGCAAAAAGCTGAAATAATAAAAAGCAGCAAAATAAATAATATTTTGTATCCAATTAAATGTTACAAAAGGGAAATCAGTAGCATTTATTAGTTAATACCTAAACAATTGTCAAGCATGGAAAGAAAATATCTGCTCTTCTCTCTATACTAATTTAACTGTTAGACAAATCAGAAAGATTTGCTTAATTAACTCTTATTTAAAACTAGGGTACTAGAATATATGAGGTACTGCTAGCTGTCGTTAATATTAAAGTTTTTTAAATTAGTTGTTGATTACATTTTTTATTGTTCATTAGTTTTTTTTAATTCTAGTAAGTGATTTATTTTGGCTAAAAAAGGGAAGAAACACTGGGTGAAAGTTGTCTTAACTCCAAACTAAGACTCAATTGTAAAGTCAAGTTATGCACCACAAACCAATAGAACTGTTTTACAAAATGTGAATAATTTAAATAGTGTATATTTTAACATATAACTTAGACCATAAATATGTAAATTTTTTTAGGTAAATACTAAATAAATGTAGTAAATAAATCATGCA